CATTTCATCATATTTTCTCCTCAAGTTTCAAGCCTACTCACGATATTGTTATTAGCAAATCATTGAAACTTGGTTCAGTCAACCACACATTTTCAAACTTGAACTTATTGCAAGTCCATGTGACGTCCTACTAGCTTCACAACAGAGAAGAATGGGATAATGATCTAATGTGTAACAACAAATAAACACTTCATTGTTTCTTCAGGGAAAAGAATACATTAGTCATTATTAACTAGTGTTCGGTCTAACTTTTCTTTAACTGTTGTTAAAGGATACCTCTGCATAGAAATATCCACTAAACCTGCATCTAAAACTGTCTACCGAAAACCATTAATCAACCAATTTGGTCATTCAACCCTAAAATGCACCACGGTAAAATCAAACTACCTGAGAGATGAAGAATTAAATTCTATGAATTTGAATCAAATTCGGTAAATTTTTCTAAGCACCCAAGGAAACATTTTAACTTCAATAGAATTATTCTAAATAAAAGTCTCTTTATTCAGATTAAAGTCACCTTTAAACATACTCCCGACAGCATTCGAATCAGATATTTTGACATCCATTAACTAAACTAAATTAACAACCATGTTAGAGTCAATATTGCTAGCACTATGTGATGTAATTCCAACGTTATGCTACTTCTAAGTATAGTTCGACTCAAATTCCTTATTTAAAGGTCTTAGCTTTGAGTCTCCTAGAAGAAAAAATATATTTAAGAAGAGTGATCTCATTAAATATGATAAAGTCAAATTCATTGAAAAAATGAACCATCAATAAAGTTGATAGATACTTGACACTTATAGCATGTTAAATAAAACATGTGTATGGACAATGGCCCCCCTTCAGGTAAAGGCAAGAAATGCGTGAAAAGTGATGCATCATTCAAGGAGACAAAAAACAAACAAGCCATGCTACTACCCCTCCTTCTTCCCCTATGTCTTAGCAGACACTAGATTTGTTCCTATACCAGCACTTTGATTTTGCAGACAGTTTTTTTCAAAAAGTATAATTGTCATGTTCATCAGTTTCCTCTATCGATTCTCCTTGTCTTTTGTTAGTTACCAAGCAAATTGTATTCTTTCTTAATTTCTTTATCCATTGAAAACAATGAATATAGCCTTTAAATTTCAAAAGACTACCGCTACTGATAAGCTTATTCACATGTTAGCATCTCTCAATCATAGAATATAACACTATCCTTCTTTGAATGAGGATTTTCATCACAGAGCACATTTGGAGGACCCTTCACGTGAAGTCTCACGTGTTGTGGGTAGGACTTTCAACTAATGCAACTCTTGCCATGCAAGTCCGTGGTTTGAATGAATTGTATTCTAACAATTTTGGTAAGAAAACTTTAGCAGCAATTTAAATATTAGTGCCAAAATGTTTGCATAGTAAAAAATAGTTTAACACTCATGTTCTCAGAGGGTGCGCACTCGGCACTCGTCGGGTTAAAATAGGAACAACTATGAATAGATGTCTCATAGTAATTTGTACGTGCTATTTATACATTACAGTCTCAAATTGTCATGCAAGACAAGACAAAACAACAATTGATCCAATGGGGCTGAACCAAAAGACAAGTAGAAAGAATGTTGGTGATTTCCATGTGAAGTAGTAACGGTTTTGACCGAAGCGCTGACACATATTTGATGAAATATAACCTGAAAATATGTTGACAGGTGGGAAGAGCTATTTTTATCATCCTATGTTTCTTAAAAACCACATCCCCATCAGGAAGTATACTTTTAGACGGAGTACTTGTGTGTTTTTGGCCGGCAGTATGTGGGGTGGGAAAAGAAGCTCCCATATAGGTAATCCCCCCTACAGTTGAATTTGGTTCAACTCATAATTTAAGACAGTATCAAAACTTATTCAAGATCTCGAGATACTCTTATAAAGCACGAACATCCCAAATACAATATCGACACTGACACGACAACACCTATAATAATTTTAAAAAGTGAATAAATTAAACGTAATCACTTGTGTCGGTGTAGGTGTCTAACACCGACACGCCTTTTACTGGAAGTGTTGGTGCTACATAACCTATTACTAGGTCACTAAGGTCATACTCCAGTTCTGGGTTGAGTGGATGTGTGCGTGTGTCAAGACATAAGAGTGTCACATTTAATGGAATATGGCCTAAAAATGTGTTTATAAGTGAGACGTTTCTGTCTCAACTTAGAAGTCGATTTTATAGGGTTGAGTTAGATCAACCCAAATTTTAATATTATTACTAGTCTTTTTATGATGCATGCATTCTGATTATTTTACTATACAACTTGACATCCTTATCTGTTTCATTGTGCAGGACTTGAATTAGAGCTCAGCCATAATATAACCATTGCAAACAATGTCAGCCTCCATGGGGCTTGGAAATGGATGAAGATGGGAGCTAAACATTTAATTTTAAGGAAATTTCCGACTAAACCATCAGAGGGGATGGTGTTGAATTCCAATACCGCAAAGCAGCTTTGCATGGAATTTGCAATACTACATGAGTAATGTAGCACAAAACCTTGTTATGAGATACATAACAAGCTTTTAACAATACACATGGCTTAAAAAACATTTCGATTTCCTCATACCATCAGGATTCGAAAGCATAAACTATTAGGTATAACTAATAATATATAAGGAAATCATTCCAAGTAGCATTCGGTCATGAAGGCACATCCAGGTATTCTATTGGTCATGAAAACCTATATGTTCCCAGAAGCTGTAGTTGCTTTTGGAAACAACTTAAACTGCATGGAACTCAAATAAGATGGAGATTCCATGATAGTCACACTTTTCCTTCTTTGTTATAATACTAATAAAAAAAACTTATTACTATTCTAGAGAATTATGAGGAAGCTATGCTGATATTCTTTGTTATAATACTAATAAACAAAACTTATTACTATTCTAGAGAATTATCAGGAAGCTATGCTGATAAGGATAGCAGCATAATGCACAACTTCTGCACATAACACGATTTGTTCCCTCCCAATGCTTGGATAATTTCAATAAACTTATTCATCACAGTTAAGTATAACAAACTGAATAACAGCAAAAGCACACGTGAAAACTTGTGGCTCAAAAAATCATTTGGATATTTACGACAGTTAAAATGTGCAGCTTCCTTATCAAGTTAGAACAAGAACACCTAAATATGAGTTTACTATATTCAGTGTATATTAAATGTAGAATAAAACATGACATGATGGTAAAAAATAAATGATACTTTATTTACACAAAATGGGTAGCACTGAAGAGAAACTCTGCCTCAGATGGGACAAAATGTCAAATCTTGGATTCTGTTCTATATATGCAGTGCCCATTCATTCATTCATCTTCCTACAACTAAGAGAAAATTGGAGTTGTTTACTAATATAAACATATGGACAAATTGTTAAGTAGCAGTTATAACACTTTACAACAACAACCAAGTCTTATTCCACTAAGTCTTATTCCACTAAGTAGAGTAAGCCACATAGATCAACTTTGACATAATGTTCTATCCAGGACCATACTTCTATCTAAATCATTAATCTTGAAATCTTTCCTAATAACTTCTCTCTTTACCACAGAATCTACAGGTCTTCTTTACCACCTAAATCTAATTTCCATCATTTTTTCTACTATAAGTGTTACCTCAACACTCACTAATACTGTCATTTCTAATATTATTCTATCTAGTCTTACCACATATCTAACGCAACATCCTCATTTCTACTACACTTACTTTATTATCGAGTTGATTCTTAACCACACAACATTTTGTCTCTTACAACATTGCAGGTCTTACCATAGTCCGATAAAAAATTTCCTTCAGCTTGAGTCGTACCTTGTGTCACATAAAACTCCTGAAGCACTCCTCGATTTCAATCACCCAACTTGAATTCTATGGTTTACATCCTCTTCTATTTCTTCATCGTTTTGTTTACGGACCCAAAATGTTTAAACCGCCTGACTTGAGGGATGGTATGGTCTCCAACTTTCACCTCTAGGTTAGAAATATTTCTTCTATTGTTGAACTTACATTTCATATACTTCGTCTTACTTCCTCTTAGGCGAAAACCATTTATTTCTAAATCTCGTCTTCAAGTCTCCAACCTCTCATTTAAATCCTCCTTCGACTCTCAAAGTAGGAACATATCATCTACAAGAAACATGCATCTCGGTGCTAACTCTTGGATGTGTTTTGTGAGTATATCCAAAATTAAAGTAAAAGGATAGGGACTTAAGATTGAACCTTGATACAAACCTATTGTAATGAGGAAATCATCTGTCTCTCTACTCTGTGTCTGCAAACTAGCCGATACCCCTTCATACATATCTTAGATAGATCAAATATATGCAATCCTAACCTCTTTCTTCTCTAGGGCTTTTCACAAAATCTCTCGAGACACTCTATCATTGGTTACCTTCAAGTCAATAAAAATTAAGTTAAGTCTTGTTAGTCTACCTGTACTGCTCCATTACATGTCGTAGTAGCTATATAACACTTTTAGTACAATAAAATTTGAACAAACAGCTATTCTTCCAAAATTGACAACACTACTATTTTTACATAATAGGGGAGATTAGTGTAGTTGATCAGAGCTTGATGTCTTTTATAAAATCGATGTGGTGCAAGTGTTATTTAAGCATATTTCATGGTTTGGTGAGTGCAATCTCTCTTAAACAAATCAATAAACTAATTTCTTCACTACTTTAATCATTACCCAAAAAACACAGGGCTAGTAAATCCCATTCATTCAACCAAATGATATAAATCAAGGTTATGTCAAACCAAAATAACAAAATTACAAATGCTGCAACATCCCTTTAAATGAATAAAAGCTTAAGTTACGAATTGTCATTCCCAACAAGTAAAATCATCAAGAGGTTACATTACAATGCATTTATTCAAAATTCTAGCCTATTAAATAAATACTCTGATAAATCGGTAATCTATAAGCTAACAAGTAATAAGCATAAGTCAGAATAATAACAATAAAACTCTTATCTTACTCATCCAATTGCAAAAGTTCAGCTTTCAATTGTTCAATCTTGAGACCCATAGCCCTCTGCAAAGCTCCCCTCTCCTTCTCCGGCAACTTCGCCAACAACCCTTCGAACTTCGACAACACTTCGTTAACGGCAGCACGAGCACACTCAGCTTCTTCATTGAAATAGACAGTCTCTTTCGATTCCAACGCCATCTCTATCTCTTCCCTTGCTTCTGCAAATTTGAGGTTGATTTCGTCCACTTCCTTGTTGTGATCCAACTCGCTTGACCCATTACTGAAATTTCTTAGGTTGTGCTGAATCGTGATGTGGGTGTTGGTGATTTTGGAAAAAGAGTGGAAATTTGAGGTTGGGAGGGTTTGAATCCTTGGAGTAAAGGGGATTGGTGAAGTGGGGAGTGGGGATTGGCGAGAGGAGTGTGTGATTGTGAAGAAGGCGTTGGAGAGAGAACGATTCGCACGTCGATTCATTTGTGATTGTGTTTGGTTGAGAAAAAATAATGGAAGGTGAAGAATCCGGTTGTAGCGGCGACACAGAGACACTCTTAAACCTCTAAAATTGAAAGCAAGAAACGATCTTAGAGGAGTCACCATTCCGTATATATATATGTAAGATATTAGTAAAAAAATGTTAAATAAATTAAAAATGGCTATAATAAAAATTCAATACATTTTAAAAAAATGAAATTGAACAAACTCAAAATAATTATAATTAAATCTTATTTTTATGTAGGGGTGCGCGTGTGTGGGGAGGGCGAGGGTGTGTGCGCGCGCGCGTGTGGGGGGTGTGTCTTGTGTGTGTATTTGCGTGCGTGTGTGTATGTGTAGGTGTGTGTGTGCCCGTATATGTGTGTGTTTGTATGTATGTGTTGTCTACGCGGCTACGCGCGCGCGTGTGTTTGTCTGTGTGTAGGGAGTGAGGGTGTGGGTGGGTGTCTGTGTCTATGTGTGTGTGTGAATTTAATGTGTAAGCATTGTGTAAAATAATTGTAAACTGTTATCGAATAGGAATTCATCACCGAGCCATGTCATACTATTAAAATAAAAATTATAGTTTGATATTGTGAAATACATGGCGGTGATAGGTTAATAGTGTAACATTGTGTTATCCGGTCAATATGTGATGATAATTGAATTTAGTTGTATTTTATTTAAATTATTAAGTGAATTATATGCTTTAGGTTGATTTTTTTGTGAATGTGTGTGTTATGTGGCATGTGGTTGGGTTGGTGAGAGTGGTAAAATTAATTAGAATTTAAAGTAATTTTATAACAATGAGAATAATTAAAATAGTACAAGTATTAGAAAAATCAGGAAAATTAGAAATAATACTTGACTAATATTATTTTGTTGAAATTTAGATTTAATTATAAAATAAATAGAAAAATAAGGCAGTAAGGGTAAAGTGGGAATTAGGGAGATAAGTGATGATAGGATATGAACAATCTAAATGGTGGAAATATGTTTTCTATTAAAAAGGGAGAAGTGTGGGAAGTTGATTTTCACTGATCGTGAAATTAAGTTTGCTGGAAGAAGGAACCCACCATTTTTGAAAAGCTTTTGCTGGAAATTCAGATAAGTGGGAAACTACTTCGTATATTGGCGTAATTTATGAAGGGTAGATAAGGTTCCTTACCCTCTCCTCCTAAAGAGTTTTCCCGTTTCACCATTGTTGAATAGTTTAGAGTTCGAATGAGTTTTTGTAGAACTCTTTCATGATCTCTATGTTTTGACATTAATTTTTGTGTACCGATTCATGTCAATTTTGTGTGAATCTATCTGATTGAATTCTGAAATTGTGTGTTCTTATGAGTTGTGCTGCAATTGTTGAAGGCGGTGATGATTTTGAATGAAATCTATGTAATTGATGTTAATCCGTACCTATTTGAGAGTTTTAATAGTGTATTCACATGTATGATTGAATTTTGTGTGTTTGAGATCAATTGGGGGTAGAAATCAGAGTTTTGGTAGGGCTTTAATTATGGAAAATCCTAGTTTCTAGGTTCTAGTCTGAGCGATATCGTCCAGCGATGATGAACTTCGCTCAGTGGGAGCTCGCTCAGCGTGATATGCATAGTGGGGAATTTTGGTTTATGAGACGCGCGCCCATCGAAAGGAAAGTTCACCTAGCAAATGCACGCCTAACGAGTTGTAAGTCGCCCAACGAGGGTGACAACCCAAAATTGAGTTGTTTTCGAGTTAAATTGGTGACAATGTGTTATTTTAACGACTAATCGATATTGTCACGTATTTTTTGAGATTATGTGTTTCTATTGATGTGAATAGATTCATAAATCATAATGAATTTAGGTTTCAACAGGCACTTTAGAAGATTCACAATGAAAGACACAAAAAACTCATCAATACCGGGAGTAGTAGTGATAAAAGATTTTGTCTTCAAACTGTGTTGCACCTTTTCCTTATCCTCTTTGGTCTAGTTTTCCCTTGGGTTGTTTTCCACAACACCACCAACTAGATGTGTGGGATCAAAATGATTGTCTTTTAAGAGCATTCCAGATATCAAAATTCATCTCATCTATAAATAATTTCATTTTCTATTTTCAATAAGCACGTCCCTCTCCATTTAAGGACGAGGATTTCTCTAGTAAATCGCTTGAAGTCATTCCTACCTTCTGAGACGAATAGTCTTATAACATGAGTTAGGTTATGATGTCACTTGTTGATCAAGCGACTTCACACATAAGAGAAGGTGGATTATGTTATTTGGATTTTAAAAACTTTTTGCAAAAGATTGATTTTAAGAAGTGATTAGAAGCAGGGATTAAGAATCAGAAAATATAAACAATAAAAAGTAAAGAGATAAGGTTAGAGAGATAACATTATAAATTATACTAGTTTGACCTTAAACTCTAATCTAGGTTCACTACTTAATCGATTAATTAACTTCTTAATCGATAGGAGGAAAACAAACTCCTTAATTAATTAGCATAAAGTTATAATCGATTAGAAGTTTTGATTTCCTAATTGGTCAAAATTACTCTATAATCGATTAAGAACTTGCAATGATTGATTTTTGGAAGAAATATGAAATAGACGAAGAGATTTTTTTTTAGTATGTGTGTGCATCACCTTAGTACATCAAGACTTACTTTTTATTAATTTAGATATTACTGACCAAAAAGACTAAAATACTTAAGCACAATATTAGCGAGCTTTCTCATCTCCAGTTCATGTGATGTTGTTTTTAAAAATTGATTCTCTTGCAACTAAACATCGGAACCTTCTCTCTTTTTTATTTTCTTCAATCTTTTTCTTACTTGATAATGCTCATGATTTTTTTTCTCCTTTGTCATCATCAAAACATATTAGACACGTTAAGTCAATATAGTCACACTAAGAAGATAGGTTCCATAAAATATCTTTGTTTATGTTTTATTGTAGTTTATTTACTCTTGGATGGCATTCGCCACCTCTAAATTATAACTTATGTTCAAAATAATTTTAATCAAACATGAATGTTTGTCTTTGATGAGTGGTTGTCATTGTCGCAACTACGAAAAACAACCAGCGGAAAATAGAAGAGTCGCCACCTTTCGTTATTTATCCCAAAGAGAGCGAAAGGAAACGATCGGAAAAACCTGACGAAAAGGGAAAGACAAGTTCATCGCAACCAAGTCTGGATTCGGGAGTCGGTTACGAAAGGAGAAGGTATTAGCACCCCTCACGTCCGTCGTACTCGACGAGATCCATGCATTGCTGTCTATCTAAAAGGGTGATCATCTATCTAGCTAAAGGTCAAAGGACAAAAGAAAAAGAAAATAGAAGTGACTCGGAAGAGCATCGTCGCTTTGTGCCTACGTACTCCCTCGTGCAATGGGAAAGTCAGAGTCAACGTAGTTCGGCTAACTACGGGTAAAAGGGGGGAAGGTTGCTCGCCAAGACATCGCGTCTCGTGCCTACGTACTTTCACCTGGTATGAAAGATCAGAGCAAACGTAGTTTAGGATAAAAAAACACCGGTTGGTTCAAAAGTTTTTTAGGCCCGAGTAGGGTTAACAATCAGTTCTAGCAGTTGGTGTATGCAGCTCGAGCATAGAGACTTAGGCGTTACCATTTCCAATAGAACTAAGAGTTAACAACACTCTTTTTCTGAAAATATTTTCTTGGATTAAGGACCCCAAAGGGTGAAAAAGGTTTGAAGTGTTTTTGTGTTTTTTAGAGAAGAAGTGTTTTGAATTTGAGTGTTCATAATGTATGTTGTACTAAAGTCTAAATCCTAGGATCAAATGCATCGCATATCGCCCTAAGGGCGTATACTAAACACTCTAGGCAATTGAGAGGTAGCCCCTCAATCACCATTTCCCAAGTATAAAGCTCATGGCACAATACCCATTATCTTTATTAAGTGTGTTAAGATTGTATGAAGATGAGAAGAGAAGAAAGGACCACTAATGGGAGACTAATCAATCCTAAGAGTTATCATGAAAATTGGACTTAAAGTTGGGATACACAAGGGAACTACCTAATGTTATTATGCATGGTTAGGCACCTAATGTCTATCATAACCTCAAAAGGTTAGAGAACTTATGGGGAGCATGGCAAAGAAAAGCAAAAGAATGAGAAGAAGAAAGAACATGCAAATGAAAATGCAAACATAAGATGCACAAGTAGAATGAAAGTGGGAGGAAAATTGTGTGGGGTAGTAGCCTCCACAAGCTCATCTCAACCAAGCATGCACATATGAAATGAAACAAAGAAGAAAGGAGAAGAAGAAATGCACAAGAGGCAATCACACAAAAGGATACAAACAAGTCACATATGGAAACATTAAATGGAAGCAACAAAGGAAACACACAAATGAACAAGCAATGAACATAATTTTGACCTAAAAATGAGCATACAGCAAGCTCAACATGTCTATCATATGAAACAAGAGGATTTGAGATCTTAATGGATCCACAAAGGTCATTTCCAACTCAAACTAGGTCATGCACTTATATGAACTTCCCTTGGAGGTAACTTGACTTGCAAGTTACCTCAAAATTAGGAAAATGGTTCAAAAATGATCAAATAAAATGTGCAAGGTACCCAAACATGTTGGAAAACAGAGGCCAAAATATCACAATCAAAATCAATTCACAACATCACCAAAGAAATTGATTCACAAGGGTGTTCCATTGTGAATGAGGATTGTCGAGGGTCAAAGGAAATCCAATAAAAGTCAACCCAAAAGTCAATGAAACAGGGGCAAAATGGTCCTCAAAAATTGATCAACTCATCATGGATATGTGGATCAATTTTCAGTCATTGGATCAAAAAGGAAAAGGAGAAACAAATCATGAAGCAAAGCATGTCAAGAAATAGTTCAACAAAAACACTTTCAATCCAATAATCCCATTTTAATTCAAAATATATCCAAAAAATAAAATAAAAATTTCTTAAAAATAATAGACATCTCAAAGTATCTAGAAACTAATTTTGTGGAATTTTTGGATCATTGGAAGCATTTAT